TGTTAAGGACTGCTACTCAGTTTTTATATGAGCAAAAAAAAAACTGAGAAGTGACAAGGGACGCGGAAAGATGCTGTCGACCGGACCATAAATAGTTACTAATCGCTAAAGCGTATGATGCCGTGCACAGGTAGGCTTCTACCTTACCAGTCCTTATCTGGCATCCCGCATCTGCCATTGTTCAGGTACAATCATGCGCTAGCATTACATATACATAATACATAATTATATTTGCCAGGCTGCGTCTTTTACGTTGATCACATGGAGCTTCAGGTGGGGATGAGTTCCGGCTGACAAATCAGGCGCGGGGCGCACCGCCTCATGTTTCCGACGGCGGCGGTCCGCTGCAGTCGGTGACGTCAGAGGCGCGCCGGGGAGAGCCGTCGGTCGGGTAGATCGGGCGCGCATCCGGCGACGGCATAGATCAAGGATGTGCGAATATAGCCAGCTCATTTGACTTCAATATTCACTCCCAGATACCGGCTTATAAATCAAGAGCAAAAGTAGGTACATACCCAATCATCAGTGGAAATAAAACGCACTAGATAGGCGAATGTTGCATTGCAAGCAGTTTTGGGAACATGTTAAGACCTATTGGAATGAGTGTCAATCGGTCATGACAAAGCTGGCACAGCGAGGGTGAGGAAGTGCAGGTAGGTGGACTACTGAGTAACCGCCAACAGCAGTTGTTTCGGACCAAGTGCAATCATTCCCCCCCCCCCCCCCCCAACAGTTGACGCCCGAACTGTTGATGCAACCCCTTACGGTTTTTCGCAACTAACTCGCGTAAAAACCAGCAGATCGCGACCAAACATTCTGTACCCGCGCGTTCATAAATTGTACACCTACCCCGAAAATTTCATGACCCTGATCCAAATGACCTTTGACCTGTGACCTACTTTTCGAGACCATGTTTGGCCGGAATCGCGATTCGTCGTACATAGGAGTCGGCTCGCATTAGCCGCGCGTTTGCAGTCTTTCCGTGGTTTCAAGCGTTCAGACATGTGATTTGATGTTGCTCCCATGCATTAGGGTGGATGTCAAGGTCACCTGAAGGTCAGGTCAGGTCATTGACCTTTGATGATCTCGATCCACTTTTTCGAGTTTTACATGTTTTCTAGGCTAGTTTTTGGAACTCAATTCGAAATTCGCAACCATTTGAACATTTACGAAGTAGTTTTGGTGCCTTTGTAACATGTTACGTCTTACAAAGCTGTCAGAGGCGGTTGATACGGACTACGAATACCCGGCAGGAACCCTACTGGTTGACCTGACCTGACCCAACCTGGTCTAAATGCATGAAGACACAGGGGCGGATCCAGGAAAACTCCAAGGGGAGGGTCATGAATCGAAGTGGTGCCCCTACCTATACCCAAAATTAAAAACTCAACGGATTTCGTCCACTTCATTTTGGTGGTGCCCCCATTTTCAGTTTTTTTTTTTTTTTTTTAGTCAGTATCTTAACTCTTAGCCACAACCACATTTACTAATTGTAAGCAAGTATATATGAATGTGCTATGTGTATATATGTTGTGGACGCTGAGTAGTGAGTACTTACCAGGAACGTTATCAGGTAAGCAAATCGTTGTCAGTCCGACGAACTTGACCCTGGCGTCTAAAGGGTCTGTCCTTGACACTTCAGGCTTGTCAGGGGCACCAAAGTCCTTCCAGGGACACCACAAACCTGTCAGGGGCACCTACGGCCTTGTAGGGGCGCCACAGGCCCGCCAGGGGCACCACAGGCCTGCCAGGAAGCAGGGGCACCACAGGTCTCGCAAGTATACACGACAGGCCTGTCAGGGGCACAACGGGCCTGTTGGGCCCATGAGCACCCCTAGGGGCAGGGGCACCACAGTCCTTCCAGGGGCACCGCAGGCCTGTGAGGGGCACCAGCGGCCTAGCAGGAGCACCAGTCAACACAGGCCTGCCAGGGGGACCACAGACCTGCCAGGGGCACCAGAGGCCTGCCAGGAGCACCACCGACCTCGCAGGGGTAACTTGGGCCTGTCAGGGCCCAGGGGCACCACGGGCCTGTCGAGAGGCACTTCAGGCTTTTCAGGGGCACCATAGTCCTCTCCGGGCGCAGGGGTAGCAGGGGCACCAGAGGCCTGCCAGGGGCACTACAGGCCTAGCAAGGGCACCACTGGTCTATCAGGGGCACCACGAGCCTGTCATAGCCAGGCATCTCAGGCTTGTCAAGGCCCAGGGGCACCACAGGTCTGTGAGGGGCACCAGCGACCTAGCAGGGGCACCAGTCACCACAGGTCTGCCAGGGGCGCCACAGACCTGCCAGGGGCACCACAGACCTGCCAGGGGCACCAGAGGTCTGCCAGGGGCACTACCGGCCTCGCAGGGGCACCTTGGGCCTGTCAGGGGCACCACGGGCCTGCCGAGGGGCACTTCAGACTTTTCAGGGGCACCAGTCCTCTCCGGGCGCAGGGGTACCAGCGGCCTAGCAAGGGCACCAGAGGTCTGCCAGGGGCACCAGCGGCCTAGCAAGGGCACCAGAGGCCTGCCAGGGGCACCACAGGCCTAACAAGGGCACCACGGGCCTGTCAGGGGCACCTCAGGCTTGTCAGGGCCCAGGGACACCACAGTCCTTCCAAGAGCACCGCAAGCCTGTCAGGGGCACCAGAGGCCTGTCAGGGGCACCACAGGCCTAGCAAGGGCACCACAGGCCTGCCATGGACACCACAGGCCTGCCAGGGGCACCACCGGCCTTGCAGGGGCGCCTCAGGCTGTCAGGGGCACCACGTGCCTGCCGGGGACACTTCAGGCTTGTCAGGGGCGTTACAGTCCTGTCAGGGCCCAGGGGCACCAGGCCCGTGGTGTCCCTGCTAGGCCTGTGGTGCCCCTGGCGGTCCTGTGGTGCCCCTGTCAGGACTGTGATACCCCTGATAGGCCGGTGGTGCCCCTGGCAGGTCTTTGGGCCCCCGGGCCTCAAGGGGGGGGGGCCATGACCCATGTGACCCCCCCCCCTTGGATCCGCCACTGTGAAGACATCATCTGTGATCAAAATTTACATGGTATTCGTGATCAGCACCCCGAAAAAAAAACCATAGCAGCCACACTTAACGACGTTGCAACAGGTCCCGATTTTGAATTTTCCCGACTTTTGGGTCATTGACTTGACCTGGAAGGTCAACAACCGATGACCTAGGACCTTGGATATCATCAATTGAGTGTTATCGGGCGGCTGCCTCTCGTCACGGGCAACACGCTCGTTTTTTCCGCGAAGCTCTAGCTCGATCAGAGGCCAAACGCGAGGGGGGTCGTACCAAGCCCCCGCCCCTTGTGCCATCGAAGGACGTAAAATGGCCTGTGCCGGCGAGCGTTAACCCTCGCCGCCGAGTGGGATTCGATGCGGGCGCCGCCCCCCCCCCCCCCGCGGCCCACACTATTTTTTCCCAGCTCTCGGAGCACGTGGAAGGTAGAGAGCTATAACTCGGCACACCTGACCTTTGCTTCAAGCTGGGTTCTTTTTTATACCAACTTCATTTTCAGGTCAGGTCAGGTCACTGATCTATGACGTCGTAAGTGAACCTCTGAACGGTCCTGTAGTGTAGCAACTTTGCAACGCCCTCAGTGCCAGAGGAGCTTTCGCCTTTCACAGGGATGAGGGAGGTGAAACGTACAGGACCTAGTATCCTACAGAGATCTCAAAACCTGCATATCTAGGTCACCTGAGGTCAGGTCGGCCCGTGACCTCTCCGCAATAAGGCAATGGGGGAAATATGGAAACTGGTATTTTGCCGCCGAGAGTAGGTACACCTACCTACCTCTTCTGAAACTACCTCAAGTAATATATAAATCATGATTTCATGGGCACTCCTTAGTCCTTGCATGCGAGATCCGATGTTTCACTTTTGCATCGTTGACCTTTCGTGACGTCAGTGCTGACTGCTGACGTCACTTAGATCACAGTACCTACATAGTTTCGTCAATAGCTCCCAAACGAATTGAGGTAACGAGTCGGAAAGCCGCCAATGGCCTCGGGGAGACCTTCCAAATCGAATAATATGCAATATGACCTATTTTGACCAGCTTTGTGACCTGGGTGCATCTGACCTGACCTTGACCTGAGGTGGGGTCACTCTTTGTAATCTGAAGGACGGACCCATCGGACCCGTCCTAAGGTCCTTCAAAGTTCAAAGAGCTTTGAATTGAGAAAGTCAGGGTGCCCCGGCCGATATCCCTGAACCCATGAGGACACGTAACTACCCTTGCTACGCCACTACCTTCTCCTACAGGTATCGGCACGGTCCACCTTTGCATGGGACTTGGCACCCTCAGCCTCCAAGGGCCGTCGACGGGTTGGATTAGGTTAGGTTAGGGCCCGTCGACGGTCGGTTGAGCTGAGAACGCGACTGCCCCCTGTCGGTCGATTACGAGGTCACTCAGTTTTATTGCTAGACAATGACGCTTTTGGCATTGCATTTTTATGTTTCCGAATCTCATCGATCATGATTTTCGATGAATTACTTTCCATTGATTCAAAAAGGGCCTGGCTGCAGACTAGAGATGTCAATCGGATACCAACTTTTTGGTATACCGATACCAAACCGATACCAACTTGGTATTTGGTATTTCAATCCTAATGTGTTTGGTATTTTGTTGGTATTATGAACCCTTACTAATGTATAAGAGGCTAAGAAACTGGTAAAAAGTTGGTATTTCCCTCATCTTTCAAAGTTGGTTCGGTTTCGGTATTTCCCCACGATTTTGGTTGGTATTTTGGTATTTGGTTTGGTATTGGCACTTCATCCATGGTATTGGACATTGGTATTCCATGGGTATGTACCTATTCCGATTTTCTGTAACTGACATCACTACTGCAGACCAATAAATTTTACCCCGCGTTCGATGTCTCTCGGACGGCGAAGATTCTACGCCGTCCGGCCAATCACGTTCTATAACCGCAGCCGAGCCCCCGCTGACCTTGGACGGGATTGGCCGGACGACGTAGAATCTTCGTCGTCCGATAGACATCGAACGCGGGGTTAATGTTCTTGAAGCTGTTTGGAGACACGTCGATTGTAGACGTTTATGGCGCACCAGCCGACTAATGCGCTAACTTTCCATCTCTGTGTTTCTTGTGATTGATTTCCAAAGCATATGTTATATTCGCTCTGAAATGTGCAATAAAATGAATTGTAACTCTTTAATGAGTGCTTTTATTTTGTTATTTGTAATTCATTGTGTCAATGGCTTGTACTTTCACATCGCTGAGACAGAACGAAAGTGCTTTATTGAGGAAATACCCGACGAAACTATGATCACAGGTAAGGATAACTGGTAAGCCTGCAATTCAAATTGCAATGGTGTTGGTATTTATTTAAATTTACAAGGTTGAGGTGGGCTTGAAATGATTTTTTAGATCTTAAATCCAGAGCCATGGTCATGCTTGGTTCGGAACTCCTACCTAATTTTGTTTTGCGCTTGGGAGTGAATCATATGATGAGATTAATTCTATTCAGGGTATTAAATCTAAAAATCATTGTATTGCACTGAGTTTTGTACTTTGTAGCATTCAATGCAAATATTTCATTTCATGGTAAATTATGATCAGAGCTATAAAACCTAGTATAATATGAAAATCTGTCTTGACCCTAGCTTTCGTTTCAAGGTGTTGAGTCTTTCCACTTATTAGTGCCTTAGATTAAGGTTTCAAATTAACTTCAGTTTGGTAAATTACGTTAATGTCATTTTTGCTCAATGTGCTACGTCACTGTATCTAGCAACTCAAATTACTCAAATTAATATCAAAATCAAAGTCTATGATTCAATAATATCCGTTCTATTTTTTTCTCCTCTCGCCAGCCACTTTCCACTCTCAATTTCTTGTGACACACATTCTCTGCACCTACACTTTTGACAAACATACTATTTTTCTGTAGAGCTTAAATAAATGTGCACCTCCTGTTAGCAATCACAATCATCTTTGGATATTCTACACAAGGCTCAAAATGTTTTATATGCAATGTCATTGTAACCCAACCTGCATGGCCTGGCCTAACATAACCTACCTGACCTTAATCAGTTACAACCTTATCTAAGCTAATAAAGCCATTGCTTATGTTAATAATTAGATAATGTCTAAGTTGCATAAGCTTTTTATTGATTTGTAATCAACATTAGGCTAGGTTAGGCTATATTTGATAAAGGTAGGCTAGGATGGCCTGGTTTGGTTTGGTTAAAAAAAGGTTAGACTAAATCATGTTAGGTCTAGAGCAATAACTGATATTCAAAGAGCTCGATAAGAAGGTCCAAGAAGCCTCTGGCCTCCCAAAGCCCTGCCAACAGTAAGGTAAGGTAAGGTCTGGTCAGGTTTGGTTAGGACTAGTCAGTTTGGAAAAAAAATGTTTGGTGGAATGTTTGTGAAAACTGAAAACAACCTACTTAAAAGACTTAAGTTACCACTGATTCATTAACATGTTCAAGCAATGCGAGTAATCTCATATGAATGATAAGAGGCATGCGATCCCCAACAAAACCTACAGCAACCTTGCATGCATACAACAGAGAGTTTTAGGCAATGCCTGCCCACCATTACCCAAAAGTGCAATAAAGGCATTAAATATTTTTGCATAATTAGGGTGATTTTTCAGTGACCATAGTGATTCAAATAAGTGGTAGACTTTGGTAAAAGTTCCAACTGGGGCTGATAGCCTGCTGCCCTGGTGAACTGACTCCCGTCATTCTCCGCACAGGAAAGTACAAGACGCAGCTGTTCGACCCGCGCACCGGCGGCTTCATGCAGACCAACCAGGGTATCGGCATGCACGTGGACGTGCGGGACCCGGAGGACAAGCCGATCCTTTCAGCGGTCAGTGGGCGTCGTGCGCGTACTCGCCGTCGGGCCGGCCGGCGCGCCCCGCGACGCTGGTGATGGCTCTGTCGCAACTCGCAATCGCCGCCGCGTGCGGTGTCGCCAATCAGTGTAGTGTTCGGTCGGTGGGGATGAGTATTGGCCGTGTGCCGTCCAGTGTGATTGGTGGTGTGATCACTCTGATTGGTGCTCCGTTTCAGGTATACTCGGCCGAAGGCACGTTTACGTTCACGTCGCACACACCCGGAGAGCACGTCATCTGCCTGTACTCCAACAGCACAAAGTGGTTCGCCGGATCACTGCTGGTGAGTGAGAGACGCTAACTGAGACGGCCGGGGACCGACTGGTGAGTTATAGGAGACACTAGCTGAGACGGCCGGATCGCTCCTGGTGAGTGGGAGACACTAACCGAGACGGCCGGATCGCTCCTGGTGAGTGGGAGACACTAACCGAGACGGCCGGATCGCTCCTGATGGGTGGGCGACACTAATCGAGACGGCCGGATCGCTCCTGGTGAGTGGGAGACACTAACCGAGACGGCCGGATCGCTCCTGGTGAGTGGGAGACACTAACCGAGACGGCCGGATCGCTCCTGGTGAGTGGGCGACACTAACCGAGACGGCCGGATCGCTCCTGATGGGTCGGCGACACTAATCGAGACGGCCGGATCGCTCCTGGTGAGTGGGAGACACTAACCGAGACGGCCGGATCGCTCCTGGTGAGTGGGAGACACTAACCGAGACGGCCGGATCGCTCCTGGTGAGTGGGCGACACTAACCGAGACGGCCGGATCGCTCCTGATGGGTGGGAGACGTAAGCAGTGACGGCTGCATCACCCCTGGTGGATGGGAGACGCTAACTGAGACGGCCGGCACCCCCCCCCCCCCCCCCCCCCTAGTGAGTTGGGAGCGGGAGACGCAAGCAGAGACGGTTGGTGAGTGGGAGATACTAACTGAAGGTGGCCGGATCACTGCTGGTCACTGGTGAGTGGGAGACACTAACCGAGACGATGGGCTTCGATGCCTGCCGGCGTCAAAAGAAGTATAACGCCGTTATGAACGTCGTGTGTGTTCGCTGATAGGCTCTGCGAGAGGGACTCAGCTTTTGGGAGTGCTGATTGTTCTGCCGGCTTACTCCAGCCAGGGGTGATTGGATTCTACGAAGCTGTTAGTGTCGGGTTAATTGATGCATTGTTGAAAGTTTTGCAGTCAAAATCAAACGTCTCCAGACCGCAGTGTCTGTGTTGTTTGGGTGTCGCCCGGGCTCTGACGGGGTGTGTCCGCTCGGCCGGCAGCGGGTGCACCTAGACATCTCGGTCGGTGACCAGGCTGTCGACTACGCCGTGGTGGCCAAGCGGGAGAAGCTGACGGAGCTGCAGCTGCGCGTCCGTCAGCTGCTCGACCAGGTGGAGCAGATCAGCAAGGAGCAAAACTACCAGCGCGTGAGTACCCAGCCCGGCCGCCGCCGCGGCCGGCAGGTGGCGCCACGGTCGCCGGGGAGCTGTAGGCGGCGTCTGGTGCGAACCGTCGCGCATTCCCAGATGCGTACATTGATATCCAGTATGAAAGGAGCGTAGTCTTGTGAACAACGGCCAACAACGGTCTGGTTTGGTTTGGTTATCTTAGGCTAGGCTATTCTTTCAGGGCCATGCTCCGTTCCTACTGGATTTCAATATACGCTTCCGAAACGACGCGATTCATGGCTCTCATTTGGTAGGAGATGATTCGTTTTGATTTTTGAAGTCGAAAAATGTTTTGAAGGCTGCATTTCCCAGGCACAGCCTGGGAAATGCTTCTGATGATTGTCAAGGTAAGTAGTATATCGATGGAGTGTATTAAAGGTAGTGTGCCACCTTTGAAAGATTTCCCATTTTATTTTTCCTAGAATAAGAAGCTTCTGTTTTTACCTAATATCGCAAAAAAAAATCAAAAATGGGCCTGGAATAGTGCCTTTTTCGCCTAAAAGTTTTTCGGTTTTTAGATATGTATAACAACTGTAGTGGGCTCACCTGCAAACAGGCGTCGGGCAACAATCGCGAATGCGGCGCACTTGTGACAATAAGCAAAGGTCATTATAGTGTTACGACCATACGACGTACGGGAATGAGTTATCAGCTGTCTAATCGTAGACAACACAATGTCGAGCCTTAAACTGTAAGCCCGTATTGGTATTGTTTCTTTTATTTGGCTGTCGAACATTATTTATGGTTTGAAATATGATTTTATGTAAAATAATTGATATGAAAAAGCCGTCTTATAAGTTATGACCCCATTTCACCACACGCAAGTGGCAGAAATGACAATGATCAGCTGACGCATTTTTCTTGGCCGAAGTCAGAGCGCGCGGCCCGACGCACCACGCGTATTTGGAAATTCCGACCTCGACGAGCATCAGAAGCCACCTAACAGGCGTGTTCGAAACCGCAGGAGATGATGATGAACGGGTTTATCGAAACTTGATTGGATGAGCATATCGGTAATAGCGATTTCAGTGTGTGCATTTATTGTTCATAGTGGTGTGAAATGTGGTTGGGGTACGACCGACAACCCGTCGGGGCGAATTTCGCACTGGGGTACTCAAAATTTGAAGAATTTAAGACGTTTCCATGAGTTTTGAAGGTATGGATAAGTTCTAAAAATCCGGTTCTCCTTATCTGGGCCATTAACTCCATACGGTCCAGGAAAGCTGGCACACTACCTTTAACCCTCGCCGGCCGAGGGGGTGCCGCCCCCCCCCCCCTCCCTATAGTTTTTTTTTTCGCGATAGCTCCGAACACGCCTGCGATAGAGAGCTGAAACTTGGCATACCTGACCTTTGATTTAAGCCGGATCTTTTGACACCAGCCGTTTTTCGGGTCAGGTCAGGTCACTGACCTATGACGTCATAAGTGAACCTCTGCACTAGTGGTGTCAATCGGAACTTGAATCTTCGGAATTCCGATTTTGTCCAATGTCCAATTCGGAATTCGGTTGGACAATGGCAGCAGGCTTTGGACAACTTTGGACAATCGCTTGCTACACCTCAACATTTTTAAAAAGTAGTCGTGTTTAACATTGATTGGCTATTAGAAAGCTCAGCTTTCGATATGATTAACACTTTTGAGCTTGTAACGGTACATGAAAAGCAAATTAACAGTGTTGAGTGTAATCTATTGCGTATGTGTCGGACATCTTTGGACAAATGGCTGGCTTGGACATTTTTGGACGGACAATCGACGTAAGCAATGGACATTGGACGGACTTTGGACATACGTTTTCTAAAATTGACACCACTACTCTGCACGGTCTTCAGATGTCGCAACTTCGCAACGCCCTCGCTGCCAGAGGAGCTTTCACAGGGAAATGAAAGTTGCAGAACCTAACATCCATTAGGAGTCACACAACTTGTATGTCTCGGATTTTTCTTAAAGGTCATATGAGGTCAGGTCATTTTCGTGACCTCACCATTATAAGTCAATGGAGAAAAATGAAAACTGCTGTTCTGGAACCGGGAACGATCTTCAACTATCTCAAGCACACAGAATCGTGATTTCATGCACTCCTTGCAAGGTTCGATGCGTCACTTTTGCAATGTTGACCTTGCGTGACGTCATTTATGACGTCATTAGGGTCATATTAGTTTTTTGTCAAGAACTCCCGATCAAATTGAGCTAGCGAGTCGGGAAAGCTACCAATGCACTCAGGAAGATTTGCCGAATCGAATGATATGCGACATGATCTCCTTCGACTAGCTTCGTGACCTGGGGGGCGCTGACCTGACCTTGACCCGAGGTCAACACCCTAAAGCCTAAGGTGACCTCACCCAAACAAAAAGTAGGTATATCATTCGACGCGCCTGAGCGAGGCGAACACGATGCTACCAAAATCGTTGCTCTGCGACCGTTTTTTTTTTTTTGCGAAGTTATTCACCAAAAACGGAACCGTACCTTGGGACCCTTGACCTGACCTCAGAGGTTACCGGTTGACCTAGGACCTTAAAATTGGGTATCAATCTCTGCGTCTCGTAACGGCGCACACGCTCGTTTTTCCCGCGACGCGCTAGCTCCACCAGGGGCGAAACGGCGAGGGGGTTGTACCCGCCCCCCTCCCCCTCGGCCGGCGCGTATGTAGAAAACCAATAGGTCCGGAGAGGGTTAAACGATCAGGCAATAACGATGTTCCCAGGTCAATGCTGTTTCTCGCATAGGCGTAAATATTAAATACATTTATGGATATTTATTCTTTTACAGTTACAGTTGTGTTAGATGAGTGTTGGCAAACCTGCCTCTGGTCTTATAGGCACTGGTACTCGCATACGAATATAGATATACTGTACCTGCAGCTTTAGAATTACTCGCATTTCACCTGAAATATAAACTTGCGTGGATCCATCGCATGATATGCAGCCATTACTTGCTGTTTTGTATGCGATCTCGGTCCTTCTCATCTCCCGGTTGCCCTGTGGGTACAAGAGATGTCAATCGGATACCAACATTTTGGTATACCGATACCAAACCGATACCAACTTGGTATTTGGTATTTCAATCCTCCTATATTTGGTATTTTGTTGGTATTATGAACCCTCACTAATATATAAGAGGCTGATAAATTGGTATAAATTTGGTATTTGCCTCATGTTCCTAGGTTGGTTCGGTTTCGGTATTTCCTCACGGTTTTGGTTGGTATTTGGCTTGGTATCGGTATTCCGATTTTCTATAATTGACATCACTAGCCGTGTGTCACGTGACCAGTGGCCTTACGGCAATCGCCTTATTTGAACCGTTTCTCCGGTACTGTGTATGTATAGTCGACTACACAGAATGATGTTCCACTTTTTACAGGCAATTATTTGCCTGGAGTGGTAGGCTGTGCCGAATCACACGGGCTGAGTTCACAAATTATAGCATTGTCCCAATGCTCACAATCGACACGATTAATTGCGTGATAAACGGCACAACTTAGCGCTCCGAGTCCGGTCAACTGATAGCTTCTGAGGATTGGAACATCATTCTGTAGTCGACTATACACTTACACAGGGTGTTCGGGATAAACTGTTGAAAATTCAGATTTATTGAACAACAGTCCTCGACATGGTGCGGGCTTTTCACTGTGTTTCGTCAGCTGATAAGAAATACAAAGGTAAAAAACATCACACACATACAAAAACCACGCATGCCGAGTAAAAGCTAACACAATCATCCAGGTGCACCACTTTCCAATAGCAGACAGGCTTTCACGTCATCACAATTTTTGCGGCACCAAGATCGTTGATTCTCGGGTCGTCAAAAGTCTTGGTGTCACCATTGACCGGCATTTGAATTACCAGGCCCACATTGACTCCATCACACGCCAATGCACCGGCATACTCGTTGCGCTCAGTCATGCAAGACACGTCATCCCTCGCAGTGTGCTAAAGGTTATTGTTGAGTCTCTCGCTGTGTCTGTTGTGCGGTACTGTTTGTCAGTGTATGGCTCTTGCGGTGCGACACAGGTACACAGGATTCAGAAGATCCTGAATTTCTGCGCCAGGGTCGTTACTGGTAGGCGGAAACTTGACCACATCTCTCACGCTTTTGATCAATTGGGCTGGTTGAACGCCCAACAATTGGCTTCACTCCACGCTGTCTGCGCTGTCGGGAAGGTTGTTACCTCCGAATCAATAAATGTTAAATATATCAGGAAGTAATCGGTGGATTTGTACCATTCAAACTGTCGACAATAGCCCAGTTCACGTTGTTTTCAACACATCTAAAAAATGGTCCCGACCACTACTCCAACGCCTCCAGTGATCCACTGGACCTGTGGAAGATGGTCTTCACATGGCATCTAAAGAAACATGACGATACCGTCTTCACCGCTGCAAGTTTGACTCTGATAATGCAACAGGCATCGTTGGTGGTTTCCTCAGCCACGCCATGTAAGCGGTGGTTCATAAGATTTCAATCTTTAGCGTTAGGGGGCGAAATGTTCGGTCCGGTGAGGCTGAAGAAGTTCTCCAAAGGTGACTTTTGGCTCTTTCCGGAGGAAAAGCCAGGCGGCAAGTCCTGTTGGCATACGAACCGATGTCTATATGGTCACTCTCTCTACTCATGGCCTTACTGTCGCGCTGAACAGCTTCACATAGACACACAAGGACAGATGAAGGCTTTCCGCTTCACTTGAAGATGTGGTAGGTCGTGATGCTGCCGTCGCTGAACGGTCCATCGTCGCATCGTCTCTTACAAGCCAATGCCTCCATTTTCTTAGCGCAACACTTAAATTTCAGTCTAGCGGTTCTATTAGCGATCAAAGAGCATTTATCAGCAGGCAAATAGGAAAACCAGCGCGATTGATCATGATGCACGTCACTGTAACCGAAGGTTTGTTGTCAATAGAAACACTATTCTTTAGAATTGTGTTTTTCTATTGAAAAACAAATCTGAGTTCCCTGACAATTTGGCAAATATACAAGGATTGTGATAGTTCCAATTAACCAAACTCAACAAAGTTTTCACCATTCACAAACAACAAGCAACAAGCTCAATCTTGCACTTTAGAGATCAACGATAGTTTAACTGTTTTAAAATGAAAGAGAAATGAAAAACTGTCCAATTTATCCCGAACACCCTGTATGTGTGTGTTACGTCACGAGTGACCACTGATCACTGACCAGTGACCACTGACCGCTGACCGCTGACCGCTGACCGACAGTACCGGGAGGAGCGGTTCCGCAGCACCAGCGAGTCCACCAACGGCCGCGTGCTCTGGTGGTCGCTGGCCCAGACGTGCGTCCTGCTCGCCATGGGCTACTGGCAGATGCGACATCTCAAGTCGTTCTTTGAGGCCAAGAAACTGGTGTAGGGACTGCTGCGGCAGCGGACCGCGAGTGGGTGTCCGATAGAACAAAGGGGCGGCGATGTGCCGCGGCGGTGACACTGAAGGGGACGGACCGGAGGATAGTGGTGCGGCTGTGGCCGGGTCTGGGCGCCGGTACCTCTGTCAGGGGTGTCCGCGCGGCGTACCGGTCGCGTTCCACCCGCGGTGGCACGACGGGACTGCGGCGCCCGGCGCGCGGTCAGTGGCGGTGACCGGCGGACGGCCGTGCGCCGGCGGTGGACGGTGTTAGCTTGTGACATGGTTTCCGAGCCGGGCTGCGGGGTAGGTCGAAAATGCGTCTCTGGGGCGATATGTGCGCCCGTTCGTGATGATGGCTTGCTTTCATTGATTTCCTGGAATCTGTAGTAGCACTAGAAGGCTCGGTGGTCAGCTCGGCTGGGTGCGTCTGACGCGTCCCGCTAATGTTCTTTGTTACACCCTCAACCATACGACAGACGCCGCAAAAACCGGAGTGTATGACCTTTGGTGATGAGCACTTTACAAAATATATGGTGATAAATTTAACAGCCTTGTGTGACGAGTTCGATGTCATTTATGACGTTATTTCTCATATTCTACAGAGCTATCTGTTACACATTTGTGTATGGGGCTTAGCATCGAGCCATTGCCAGATTACGGTAACCTACAGAAAAACACCATTTACTATTAAGTCCCGTATCTGGGACTGGAAATTTGATTTGATTGATGACATTTGATGGTTTGATGACCTGGCTAAATGGTAAGTTGTTATAATTGGTTCATTGTTTCCCAATAGTGAATTGGCGCTCTTCATTCCACGAAATGGTTTTGAGAGTTTCGATTATGTACATAGCCCTATGCCATGATCCAGTTTGAATTAGTTAAAACTATCCTGCCTAGGTAGTTTGATATCGCTCTCACTAAATGAGGATATCATTAATTGCATTGTCATGTACGGTGAGGCTCTCAGTCTACCTGATAGCGAGTAATGGCACATTGGATTCCGGCAGCCGGCTGATGACTCGCTGGCGTTACGCAACCACTTCGTAATGCATCCGTGCCTAATTGTTCCCGCACTATGTAACTAACTCACCATATGAGCGCCAGCTTTACCAGGACATGTTTGGCCATCTAATTTGTATTGCGTTACGCGAGCCGGAACTCGGGGAGGGGTATTGATGCTCGTTTGTTCTGTTTTGTTTTGTTTGTGTTGGTTTTTGTTGCTTTTTTCTCAAAATTTTAACGTTCTGAAAATTATTTATTTTCGAGGATCATGGACTTCTTATAGTGATATCAGACACCTTTTCCTACAAGATAGGCACACTGAATCGTTGACAATAGGTATAAGAAACGAAAAAAAAAATATTCTCTGAAATGCCAAAGTGAGAATGCGCTGACCCGAGAACGTCATTGTGGGCCGAGTTCGAATTATAGGGGAGGAAAGGGAAGATTTGGAGTGGGTGAAAGGAGCACGACGGATTCGCTCCCCAGGAGTGCTCCTTTCGTTTCCTAACAATGGCACTTCTTGTGAGCATATTTTAAATGTTTGCGATAAGCGACTTGGTACGAATCAACTAACCAATATCCAGACACGAATCGTGATGCAACCAAGTGCTATTCGGCTATCGTTTTTATCATCCGAATTTGTCTTATTGTTTCCGTGTCACAACTCACATTCCCTATTTGCTCATGGCACTTTGTTGTTGTTTTAGGACATGTGCAAATCATGTGGATTCATATGGCGTGCCTAATTTTAACAAATTGGTTCGGGGCTCGTTAGGACCCTGTTTGGTGTGTCGCTCCATTTTCCCGCGGGGATGTTTCTTCACTCGGCGGTCAGCGCGACAAACGGCGGGTGACTACCGTCCGTCGCCAGTCGATCTGTCCTAGTGCGGCGGTCCGTGTGCCTCAGCCGGCTCCTGTGTGTCGCCGACATTCCGCGGCACCGGCACCGGCACCCCCGAGTCCGCCGGCGGCGCCACAAAGCAGCCGACGGCAACCGATACCATCGTTTGTCACGCGCTAAAAACGACGCTCTCTGGACGAGTGCCGTCCAAAAACGGAGCAATTTTCCGTCTCATCGCTGGCATACGAACGCCGACCCGCTCTGCTATTCATTCGTTATCAAATAATAGGCTTTATGACCTGGCTGGGCGGCGATTTATTTCGCATTCATGGCGTGCTTCGGGCCGAGATTGGCCACGCTCTCGGTCCACCTGGTAGCCTGTAATGACAGATAGATGTAGCGCCGGTGGTAATGCGGCTGATTCCTTTGGCGCGTTAGTGCCGTGACGGCGTTGGCCGGCGCACGGGGGCGCCACAAAGGGCGCGCCGCAGACACCGCGCCGCGCATCCTCTTGAGCGGCTTTGTCGGCGGCCGGCGCGCCGCCGCCGCCCAGCCACCGGCAGCGACACTCGGCGGCGCCAATTTTCCGGCCCTCGAGCGGACCGGGCCGGCCGGCCGGGCAGCTGCCGACGGCTGGGAGCGAGCAGCCACCGACCCTCTCCCCCCCCCCCCCCGACAGGACGACAGATCTGATCACAGCACCGCGACCGGCCGCCGGCTCAGACAGATCGAGTACGCTACTGCCTGCCGTTAGTGGTCACTTTTCTGTTACGAACAACCTACCAGACAGTCGATACGACTTGTGAGATTTGTTCTTACTGAAATGGACAGAACTGAACCTAACTACGTGTGATACTTATACGCGCGAAAAATGTCTTAAATGAAAAGTTCAAATTCTTGAAAATAATTTTAGACGTTTTAACTTTAATGTCGGTGAGTCTGAGCACCTATATGTGCGAGGACATTTCAAATTTGTGGCTGTTTAAATTGAATTGGCTGTTCCTGTGAAGCACAGCTAAATTACAAAAAAAAAAAATCAATTAATATTTAACCCTACGGATCATTAACGGAATGGATGTAAAAACACGAGATAGGATAATAATAAAAAGGTGCCGATAATAGGCAGGTATACCTATCTTAGTGTTCCGGGGTAACACCTTTTCACGGCGTGCTGACGGCTGTTGACATAGGCGCCACAAAATACCCCTCAAACGCGCGCTTATCTCCGGGGATGTGCTCCGCTGTTACCTCACCAGAGCGGTATGATAGCGTGCGACCGCCGAGAAGTGGCTGTTTGGTGGAATGCCACAACCGTTGTGCTCGCCTGCGCCTAATTGCCATCGAGCACGAGCTGAAAATATCGCATAACCACTGAAACCTATTTCATTGGCAATATTCACCGGTCACGGAACCGAATGATAGACATTAGCTGCCCTGCTGAATGCCAATCTCATGAATTTGACAGGTTGAAACCGTTCACCTCACGTAATGTAGCTCCACTCAGTGTAAATGACCGGTAAATATCGAACAACTGGGGTAGACAGCCTCCCGGCCGACCGCCGCTCGCATTGCACGCTCGGCGTTATCACCAATTTCACCGGCCTAAAAGGGGCGAAAACACGATGTGGAGCATTGTGGTCGGCGCTCTGTCCCCTCTAAACCCCTATCTGGACTGGCGGCCGGCGGCTGCGGCTGGCGGCGTGTGCCGGCCGGCGGCCCGGGACGGTGTAATAGACGGGCGCTCGGCGCGGCACGCGGCGCCCAGCACGCGGCGCGGCTGCAATCAGTGCAGCGCGGGCAGACGCCGGCCGCGGCTGGACGCAGTATCGATCCCTGTCTGACGGTTAGCGCGGCGACGGGCACCCGACCGGCGTCCATTCGAGGGCACACCGGATATCCTTACTCCGGTCCAAGTGTCCTGGGTCGTGCAGTGAGACTGCGATGACTCTCCAGTCCCAGAGCCAGGGGCATGTATACGGCGTTGGTGATACTACCGGCAGCAGTTTGTCTGCATCCGTCAGTCCTGCCCCGTCTCGGGTTACTGTCCTGGCCAGCGATGTGGTCTCCGAGAAAATCGGCGGCCAGCGCCGACACGACTCAGTAGCTGTAACATTGTGCAAAAATATCGCATTCTACCGAAAATATCGTAGTGAACAACGAATTTCAGCGACTTTAAAAGCGCTCGCAGTTAAATTCTCTTCATTTCACAGGTTACCAACCGTAACATGTCTCACATGACACGCATCCGGTTAACCACGGTGAAATTCTTGAGCCATTTTTAGGAACATCCTGCTGGATAACGTCCGTCTTAAGTCGTTTTAACATGGAATCTGATAATTCCGTAAATCTCGGACTACTTTAATTTATGTCAATTTGCAATTGTGAGCGGAAATGTAACCGTCTAGCCCAGCTGCCCTTTTCAGGCAGGTGAAGATAAGCACTCTATTTAGCCGACTGACGGTAAAAAAGGATGTCCGCGTATTAACCGCGCTGCAAAGTGGGTTATATACGGCCTGTTAGCTGCCTGTCGTGGAGATTGGTACACGGTATGTATTTCACGATCGTATGTAAAAACACTGTCTAATTATCGGTGGTGGGGCGATGCTGGACGCGGTTGCAGTATCATCATTAGGTGCAGGGAGCCGGCGACGGGTGAGGCTCCTCCCGGGGGTGGCCGTTCAGACGCCGGCTCCTCGGCCGATCAGACGCCGGCTCCTTGGCCGTCCAGACGCCGGTACCGACAGCCCGCGGCCAGCAGATGCCCTGCACCGGCCTCCGGCCCGGCGCGGCGGCCAGCGCCGTTCGTTAGCACAGCGCGCGCCAATTAAGCCGCGCGGCGACTCACCTGGCGCACGGAGACGCGCCACCTGCCGCCGCCGCGCCAATCTCGGCCGGACGCAGAACACGGGAATAATTTTACGGTAACGAGTGCACGACGACGGCGGCGGCTGTGGCGACAGGCAGGGTTGTGCTTGACTCATGAGCCGAGTCAGAAATTTGACTCAACTCTGACTCAAATGAGTCAGATTTGAGTCGAGTCGGATAAAATGTTGAGCTGTTGAGTTGAGTCAGAGTTGAGTCGGACAAAAATATTAAGGTGTTGAGTTGAGTCAGAGTTGAGTCAGTAAAATAAATTTTGACATTGAGTTGAGTCAAAAACATTTAGGAACATGAGTCAGCTGACTCAACTTTCTAGAAACAATATATAGTATAAGTTTTTCATTCTCCCCCCGCTTAACAACTTAGGCCTGGCCCTGCTGCCGGATTTTTTCACCCCCCCCCCCCCCACGCTCAACAACTTTTTATCTGAATCAATTTTGAGTCAACACACTTGACACAACAAAAAATTTGAGTCAAGTTTGAGTCAACTCATATTTTCATTGAGCCGCTTATGAGTCATGAGTCGAGTCAAGGGAAAAAATCAGCTCCTTGTTTGAGTCAGAGTTGAGTCAGGGCATTCTGAAGTTGAATGATGAGTCGAGTTGGCAAATTTTTTTGAGTCGAGCACAACCCTGGCGACAGGTGACCGGGCCTGCAGCGCAGCTCGGCGGTCTCCCCCCCCCCCCTCCATCCCCGCTCTGGTCCTCTCCCACCCCGGCCCCGTGGCGGCGCCGGCGACCGACAGTCGTATAAAAGGTTTGGCCGCGCGCACGGCCACTGCACATGGCTCTTTGTGGCAAACGCATTGGCGCATTGTCGT